GCTACTAGGAACAAGTGCCACGCTAGTAGTAACAGGTGCCTTACTAGCTCAAAAGGCTCGATAGGACCGAATGGCGACTGCTCAAAGCTCTAATATATTTCACGCACTTTTTGGGCGGAGGCTCTGAGAATCGCAGGTTTGGCCCGTGACGGGCTGCGGCAATTGCACGTTCTGAAAGAGCTAACAAATCGAAAATCTAAACAAACCATGGGCCACGGCCAAACAGGTGTACCGGGGTGTGATGAACAAAGTGCCAAATCAGGATGCCAATCCTCAGCCGAAACAAATACAATAAATCCATCAAAGCTGGTTGCGTGCTCTAAGCAGCACTTGCAAAATTCAAGTAGTGGCCTTCTTTTCAAACTGTTTTTTCAATCCTTCATCAATTCCAAAATGTGGGCTAAGCAGTCGAACTGGCCAAGTCTTGTCCAAGGACCAACGGTCGCGGCACTCATCGATCTTGGTGGTTTCGATAATCTCTTTCTGCAAGGCCGCCGGGATCCACCAGTTGACCATGTAGCCCGAGTTCCTCAAAAAGTCAAAGAGATTCAAAAAACACATTGCGCCTGTCTTGACTGAAGGAAGTTCATGCAGCACGTGCAAACTTGAAAAACGTACCCTTCTCATCCCTTTTCCAACGCTCCTTGTGGCAAACAAACCATCATTTGCAAATTGTCTCCTCACATTTTTACTAGCTGTTGGCGCGTCTGAAAAATCCAAGGGTCTTGTTCTCATTGGCGGCTGCCACAAAGCAAGCATCATGAGGCCCCAAGCTGGTAGCAAACATGCCAGCTCCCCATGGCCACCAGGTGGTGACCAACTTTGACTTCTGGCCCTTCTCGAGTTTCATGACGTTGAGGCAAGCATGGTAGGCCTGCCTCGGTGCAAGAGCTGGTTGGCGGACTGGTTGGCGGCAGTGTGCTGGGCTACCTAAAGCTTTAAACACACACATTGACACTTGTTTCAACCTCCGTTCACCCTTGTGTTGGTCAAATTTGCCGAGCTGCTCTTCTCCAGGGTATGAGATCTTGGGCACGGGGGGCATCTCCCACTTGCCAGGCTCACCAATGCAGCCATAGTTGCAGTCACCGACTGCGAAAATAGTGCCATCAGCCCAAACACCTCCTCCCAAACTTGGCTTCTGGGTTACCTGTCGTACCGCACGGCGTACGGCGACAAAATAACCTGCCTTGGCATACCCGGTGAACAAAGTACCGGACAGTTAGCAGGGCATTGTAAAAGAACTCGTTATAAATGGGATGTCCAGCCTTGGCCCTCTATGACATGCAGCGCCAAGTGAAACCATAAAATGACCAAACAAACCTGGCAAGTGAGCCTATGAAATGGCCAAATCAAGTTCCGCGATGGAACGAACAGTGTATTTCCAGTCCGTTCAGTTTTTTCTTTTGGGCTGCTGCCCGGTGTCTCTGGACATAGCGGGGGCACAGGGAGGAAACCTCCCATATAGGGATCAAACACATGGCAACCCCAAAACCGAAAACGGACAATGGCCAAGGGCGACTCTGGAAAAAAAGTCTACATATATCTTATGTTGTGTGATCAGGGCTGCTATTGATATACAGTAAGTTATGTAAATAAGGATGGGTCTTATAAGTGATATTGTTCCATTTTCACCAAGCAGTTTACTGTGGGGTTGTCTCTTAGGAGTTGTCCTCTGCCCGCACTGGCAAACCTTGTGTCCTCCTGTCCTCTGGCCGCGCTGGCCAACCTTGTGTCCTCCTCTTGTCCTTATCTTGTCCTCCTCTTGTCCTCCTCCCGTTCTCCTTTTGTCCTTCTCTTGTCATCCTCTTGTCCTCCTGTTGTCCTCCTGTCCTCCTCTTGTCCTCCTCTTGTCCGTCCCTTGTCCTTCTCTTCTCTATGCGAGAAAGCACGTGCGCATGCGCAAGCCTTGTGCGGCGGCCGGTGGGAAAGCGCAAGTTTTTGTTATCTCATCCCTCTGCCCTTTGTTGTTGTTGTTGTTGTTCATGTCCGTTTTGCACTAGGCATTCAGCAGATGCTGTGAACCATAGATGTTTTTAGGCCCAGACCGCCCCAAAGGAACAAAATAGCGGTCGTGCGAGCTATCAATGAAACTTGGCGGAGGTGCACTTGAGAGACGGAGCATTTGTTTTTTTGGGCCTGACGGAAGTCAGGCTATGCGCCCAAAAGTCGCTTAGATGGCCTTGGACCTTGGAAGACGAGAATGTGGAAGGAGGGAAGAAAGGGGCACCAGAAAAGGGAGACGTAACCCTAGACATGGCCACCAACCACAACGAATCCGCCAGCGCAGGACAGTCACTCGAAGGCCATGGTTCCAGTATCAAGAAGCAAGGCCGAAGTCAGAAGGCCCAAAAGGCCAGAAGAAGCCCACTCCAAGATACCACAAGTCCTTTGGGTGAAAGAAAGGGAGGAAGAAGAAAGGCTTCGCCGGCCCAACTTGAGGACCTTCACTCGGCCTATGCCCAGGCGCCTGCTACAGTATTGGCTCTACCCTCGAAACTCCAATGCAGCCTGCTCTCCAGCGAGCAGCGTTATTGGGACAAGAGCAACCAAAGGAAAGGGCAAAGAAAAGTTGCAGGACGAAGATCAGTTGAGAGCTCGTGTCCTTGCAACCCAAGACATATATGAGCGGTTGGAGAAAGAGGAAACGATGAGACACATGCAGCAGCTGATGTATGAAAACCGAGCCCTTCAAGAAGACTTTCAAAGACAGTTGGAAGATCACGCCTCATTGCCAAGCATTGGCGTAGTTGAACAAGCTGTACAAGCTCATGTGTCATGGAAGAGAACCGCAAGGAGGTCAAGCGCCTCACCATGCCCTCACCAGCACCAAGGAAGATGATGAAGAAGCTTCAGGGGAAAGGGCGGCTTGAGAGAAGAAAGAAAAATGCTTCATGAAGAAGAACACCAAGAAAGGGGAAGAGAAACCATTGGGAAAGGCAGGGGTTCAAGAAAGAAGCTGTGCCGGTCCTCAAAGTGGTTGAAAGCATGCAGAAGATTCAAGATCGCATGTCACGAAGCTCAAAGCTCCGGACAAGACTTCAAGATCCAGATCAAGAACCAGAAACCGTTCGCCACAGTCTCGAATTGCCAAACCTAGTTCCGATCATGGCCAGCTTGACACCGGCCTCTGAGGAATGGCGGAGCTTGACGATGCAGGAAGCGCAACAATGGTATCAACAACATCTGACAAAGTCGCCGCAGGACCTCTTGACTCACCAGATCACACCCAGTTCCAAGCTGTTGGCGCGAAGATGGGCCAGGTTGGAAAAGAAGTCCATGAGGCTGATAGGCTATCATCCCCTTCACCGGGGTGCCCACACTGGGCGGTCATCCTGAGGAAGTGGCTCAGGTGGAAAAGAAGGGCAGAGGAAGTTGGGGCGCCCACCATTTTGCTAAACGGCTAAAGGCCTGGGGAAGTCACAAAGCGGTTGGTTTCCATGATGCACCCTGAACTGTAGTTCTGGCTTGAACTTGTCAGGAGTTGGCTTTGGCTGAACTCGAGCATCTTGGACCTCAGGGGAGGAAGTTCGAGGAGGCTGGTAAAGACCCCAAAGAAGAAAAAGAAAACAAAGAAGTAGACTTAGGGAACAGGGGGAGGAAGAAGAGGAAGACCAGGAGAAGCGCAAGAAGACTGGCCGAAGAGGTGATGGAAGATAAAAGTGAACAAGAAGGCGAAGAGGATCAACCAATGTTCGGCCTGTCGGATGCTGAATATCAAGCAGGTGAAGATGTCATGGCCAGGAGAAAAAGCATCCAAAGAAGGCCAAAAAACAAAGACTGGCTGTTCTACCTCAGGCGGTGGGGGCTTGGCCCCTCCCCGCATCTTCAGGTCGGGAGGCCCCCCTGCCTGATGGCACCATCTCCTGGGACTCCTGTTGGCGGCGAGCGGGCCCCCCCCGATCCCCACGGAGAGGGCCGTTATAAGTTTCTAACTTAAGTTAAACGGAAGTTTAACTTAAGTTGCTGAACTTATACGTTCCGCACAACTTCCGCGCTATGCGGTTAACTTCAACGTAACTTCCACTTGCCCGGCTCGCGCAAGTTCAGCGGAAGTTACGCGGAACTCAGGTTGAAGTTAGGAAACCATAAAAAATGAGGTTTTTTGAAATAACTAAAATTTTTGTCAAATGACACATGCTGCAGTGAGATTTTTGGCTCAGAACGTTCGTCCAAGCAAGCTATATATAGCCCACGTATATAGCATGTCAGCAAATGCGGATGCCACGTCTGCGGGCGGGAAGCCCCGTCGTTCCCAGCAGGGATACGAAGCATTTCCTTCGTTTCTCCCGCAACAACTGTGGCAAGAATTGGAGGCCGTGTGCGTGCCACGAGAGAGGATGTATTTGTTGTTGCATTACCTGGTATTACCTCTTCAAAGGCCTTTGGCTGCGTTGCCCGAGCGAAGGCACGTTTGGGAGGACGTAAGCGTTTGGGCGAAGAGCTGGCAGGAAACTGCGGGTTTCCTCAAGGGGTTTTGCGGAGGAAGGGTTGGTCAGGAAACTGCAGGTTTCCGCAGGTTCGCCCGTGGGCGAAGAGTCCGTGGGGAAACTGCGTGTTGCCAGGCACAGGTCCTGTGGGCGAAGAGTTCGTGAGGAAACTGCGGGTTTCCCGACGTTTGCCGGATTGGCGACCAGGCGCGCGCCCGGCGCGCGCCCACGAATGCAATGTTCTGCGGGCCAAGAGAGGCAGGAAGGCTTGCTGAACAATCTTGTGATCTTTGGTCCGCGGCTGAGAAGCGGAAAGAGAAAGCAGCAAAAAATATCGAGGAGAAGCGCAGGCAGGTCGAAGAGAAGCGTCCTCGCGCTAGCCGTAAGAAATCTCAGGCTGAAGTGACGAAAACGGAAAAGAGAGGTCGAGCGAGGCCGCAATCTTCGACGGCCAAGAAGGACAGACGACGCCTACGCGCACAGATACAGAGTGACAACAGCATAGTCTTCACCCTCTGATACAATATATACCACCAGATTTGGCGAAAGGAAAGTGTGTCCGTGCGTGCGCTCATGTTGTGGCACAGAACGTTGGCTTTGTAGGTCCCACCGATGTCCGCCAGACGTCCGCGAGAATTGGCCGTAAAGCTAGCTAAGTATTGGCGACGTCCGCGAGATGTCCTCGGCTTTGCGCAAGGTTTTCTTGTTTTTCTTGTTTTTTTTTCGCAGCTCTCTCGGCTCCGACAGGTTTTTGTGGAGGACGCTCGCTGTCGCGCCAATGTCCACGCAGGAGACACAGGAGACCCCCATGCCCGCGACTTGCGCCCTATGCCAGCGCTCAGACGTTGCTGGTCGCGGACATGGGCGGCGTTTTCTGTGCGTGGAATGCGAGTCCACGGAGAGGCTGGTTCGTCGCAACATGGGAAGACAAGCGTGCGTTCTTTAGTAGGGTGGCCAGCCTGTGGGTTTGCGGAGGAAGTTGGTCAGGAAACTGCGGGTTTCCTCATGTTCGCCCGCGGGCGAAGAGTCTGTGACGAAACTGCGTGTTTCCTGATGTTAGCCTGTGGGCGAAGAGTTCGTTAGGAAACTGCGGGTTTCCTGATGTTTGCCTGTGGGCGAAGAGCTGCCTGCGATTCCATATCGGAGCTGCTTGCGAGCAGTTGACGTTCTTGCCGCACTGCGCCGTTCAAGAATCGAAGCATCAGGAAATCAAACGCAGCCTGATTGATACCTTGGAAGGTTGCTTGGGCGATTCTCTTCGTCTCCAGAAGGCTTTGGTTAGCCGATTGGCCCTGCGAAACGCAGAGTCCAATGAACAACTAGGCCTGGGTAAGTGGGGACTCGGCAATCCTGTCAGGGAGGCCACGGAGGAAGACAAGTTCTCCTTCAAAGACTGCGGCCTGAGCCGCGCAGACCACGCTTATATGTGGAAGCGACACGTCTCACTCGGCGATATGGTCTTGTTCACTGACAAAGTTGGTGGACAATTCCTGATGGCGGTGTCCGGGCCTGCGTGCGGCCTCCACTTTCTCTTTGAGACGATGGAAAAAAAAGCAGACCACCCGTGGGGCAGTCAATGGAAACCATCAGGGGAAAGAAAGTGGTGGAAGCCGCGGCCAGACATGGAAATTGTAGTTGTTGCTTGGTGGTGTTTCCTAGGATCCGACGTGCTTTGCCTGCATTAGTGAAAAAGATGTGAGTTTATCCGCTTTTTTCTGAC